ATAGACCATAGAGCACCTCATGGCTGGGGTGGTTTCTTAAAAAAGTATATAGTAGCTTTACTGAGACTTAATCCACATGCCATAAAATTCACCCGTATAAAATACACAGTCAGTGTTTTTTCAGTATATTCACTGCGTTGTGCAGCCATTATCACTGACTAATTCCAGCAGGTTTTCAGCAGAGAAGAAACCCCGTACGGTGAGCAGTCACTGTTCCGTCGTCAGCCCAGCCCATGGCAGCAACCCGTCTCCTTTGCATCTCTGTAGGTTTGCCCATCCTGGACATTTCAGATAAATAGACTCATGTAATATATTCTCTTTTTTGGCTCTTCTCTCAGCACGTTGTATTCAGGGTTCCCCCGTCTTCATAGCATGTGTCAGTTCTCCGGGCTCCGGATTCTGGATGTGCCACATGCTGTTCGCCCATTCTGGTTGTTGCCGTGCCGTGGCTATTACAGACAACGCTGTTATAGTGTTCACATGGACAGTTTTGTGGAGACGTGTTTTCATCTTGTTTGTGTGTATTGTCTAGGCATGGAATTGCTGGGTCACTTTGGTAACTCTGTTTAATCTTCTGAGGAACTGCCAGACTTTTCCAGAGTGGCTGCCCTATTTTACATTCCCACCGGCATTGCATGAGGGCCCTATTTTCTCCACACACCTGCCAACAACACTTGTCGCCTGCCCGTGTGTAGGGTGGCCATCCCGGTGGGTGCGAAGCGGTGTTTCAGGGTGACTGGTTTGCCTTGACCTGATGGCTAATGGTGTGGGGCACCTTCTCATGTGATTATTATTGTTGCTTTTTTTTTTTGAGAGAGAGAGAGAAGAAACACTGATTTTGTTGTTCTACTTATGGATTAATTCATTGGTTGATTCTATACTATATGTGCCCTGACCAGGGTTTGAGCCCTCAGCCTTGGCATAGCAGGACAATGCTCTACCCAACTGAGCTCCCCGTCCAAGGCTATGTGCTCATTGTGCATTAGGAAATCTTCGTTGAAGAAATGTGTATTTGGACCTTTGCCCATTTTTCTTTTTGCCCATTTTTAAGTTCAGTTGTTTTTTTCTTGTTAAATTGTAGAAATTCATATATTCTGGATATTAAACCCTTATCAGATACAGTCATACCTCAGTACTTGGCTTCAGACCTTGTCAAACCCTGTACTCGTTGCATTTTGGCGAGAAGAACATGTTCAGCACTTGGCAAGTGCACGCCGCTCGCAGCCCCTCTTGGGATGGAATGGAGGCCAGAGCGTCAGTCTCACGGTAGCTCGCAAGCAGTTCGGTACTCGTAGGTTTTGGCACTTGTCACAAGTTCCAAAATGAATTAGCGATGAGTGCCAAGGTACCACTGTATATGACGTTCAAATATTTTCTCCCATTTTGTAGACTTCCTCACTTTTTTTAATAGATTTTAATAAACCTCATAATATTTTTTAAGATTTATTTATTTATAGACAGCAGGAAAGGGAGGGAGAAAGGGAGAGAAACATCATTGTGTGGTTGCCTCTCATGTGCCCCCCACTGGGGACCTGGCCTGCAACCCAGGCATTTGTCCTGACTGGGAATTGAACCAACAAGCCTTTGGTTCACAGGCCGTTGCTCTATCTACTGAGCCCCACCAGCCAGGGGGTCACTTTCTTGATAATGTCACTTGTTGCATAGCATTTTAAAATTTTGATGAAGTTCAGTTTGTTACTTCTTTTGTTGTTTGTTTTTAGTATCATAACTAAGAATCCATTGCCAAATTCCAGGGTCCTAAAGATTTACTCGTATGGTTTCTTCTGAGAGTTTTATGGTTTTAGCTCTTACAGCTAGATCACTGGACCATTTTGAATTAATTTTTGTTTATGACGTGAGGTGAGGGTCCAGCATCATTCTTTGGGACATGCATAGCCGGGTGTCCCAGCCCCATCTCTGTTGGAGACTCTTGTGTCCCCACTGATTGGACTTGGTGCACCACCTGCCTCAGCTTTCCCCTCCCTGGCACAGCTCCTCACTGTCGGTTTAATCCCGGTACTGTGACTGGAACCTGCAATGTTTATCTCTGTCTGCCTCCATATAATTTATATATATATATAGTCTCCACCCCCACCCCCCAGGATCCCTGTAAATGTGGCTTTTCCTAGTCCACACTAATCTCGCCTCCCACAGAACTCCTGAGTTTGGAGCATTTAGTGTCATTCTTTTCGTCCTCTTACATAAAGCGTAAGCACAGGACATTTCTGCCTGGGTGGTGGTTCCATTTCTCCCAGCGAGGGGGTCGTTCCATGTGGGCAGCCATCGGGCCTGCACTTCTCTCTCTGCCACAGTGTTTACCCGGATGAAGGAGTGAGAAGATCAGTGACATGTAGCCGTGTTTGATTTATATCAGTACATTGTCTTATTTTAAATGTGAATTCATTTTCATTTGGTCTTACCAAGTAGGGGCCTGGTCTGCAGTATCTAAAATAGAATAAAACAAGAATCCAGATCTTTCAGTGAGCTCAGGCCACCAGACACCCAGGGAACCCAAGGTGGCATTTTCTTTACCCCAATGAAGACATCATGTGCTGTGCCTGGGAAGTGTGAGGCTGCTCTAATAAAAAAGGATATAGGTGGTGAAGAGAGAGAAAGCCCCCTCAGCCTTTTTGGGGAGTGTGGCAGGGGGACATTCTGTAAGGTTTTTAAAAGCTGTATGTTCTAAACCAAATTCACATTTCCTTTAAAAGAAGTCGGGCTCCGGCCTGTTTTTCATGAAACACATAGGTCCCACGTTAGCCTCGGTGAGCATGTCGTGTGTGACTGGCGTGAGCTCATGGCCTGTCTGCCGAGGAAAGTGGGAGCTGGTGCCAGCACCGGGTGCCGCCCCGAGCACTGCCTGCTGGCTCCGTGGTAAACCAGGCCTTTCAGGAGGCCGCAGACAAAGCGACGTTAGGGAGAAACAACATGTCGACAATCACCCTAATAAATTTTGTACGAACACATCATTTCCACCTAATGGAAATGTAGCTCTCTTAAATAATTGAGAGGCCATCCTCATCAGGGGGATTCAGCTGGGATCTTTGTGCACTAGGGCGGTCGACAGCCTCTTGGAAGCCTCGGTAATGGACGTTTTACACGCCTGGCTCGGCGAGGGCTCCGGTGGGCTGTGCGTGGCGTCCCCCCGCGGTCCCCGCCCGCGGCGCCCCGCCGTTGCCCAGGCTGTCACCAGGCAGCTCCACACGGAGGGCTCCAGTTGCAGCCATGGAACTGCCAAGACTCAGGGGTAGGCGGTAACCCTCTTCAGCCTGGGCCCCACCGCAGTCCGTTTCCCCTCACTGTGCTTCCTCCCGGTGCCTGCTGGCCAGCCATGCGTTAGCCGAGGCCTCGATTTAACGGGGCCACGATCTTGAACGTTCAGCATGCAGCTCCTGTTTATATGCCAGAAGGTGGTACCGTGTGCCGCAGAGGCAACGACAGTGTGTGTGAAGCGAATGGTGAGTGAATGAACCCGGAGAAAAGGTCGAGGCGGCTGACAGGAGTCATGACTGAGCAAGAGACTTGGAGTGGGCTCTGAAGGCGAGGCAGGAGTGCAGAGGGGGCGGGGGAAGGCCAGGGGGCTCAGCGGGCCTCTCGCACGGCAAGGACGGTGGGCTCCCGCGGTGTGCGGAGCCTTCCTGAGGTTTGTGGTTGGGTCAGAAAGGCTCCTGGCCGGTGAGCAGGCTCTTGGCCTGGCCAGCCACGTGGCTGGGTGGCCTCTCCCTCGGAGGAGTGTCCTCCCCACGACGGGAAGACAGAGTTCCTGGGTGGGGGGAGGAGGCACAGGGGCCCCGGGAGGGATTCACATTCTTTCCTCCGTCCTCCAGGGACACGGTCAACACACCTGCCGCGTCCCAGCGAAGGCTCATGTGGCTTAATTACTTCTTTTTAAATTTGCAGGTAGTTCCTGAAATGACTGAGCTATTGAAGAAAAAATGATTCATGATCATGTCTTAAGGAGAAAAATTATGAGTATTCAGCTGAAATCATAGAAATTCATGACTATTATAAGTCATTGGGAAGCTGCATTTCATAACTTGAGGAAAAATACTAACAAAGGCCAGAATGAGGCTTTTTTATGGGCCTCATATGTTTCTTTTTCATTGTGATTCTAAACAATTATTTTTGGAAGTTTCTAATTCTGTAATAAAATATATAATAAAGTATTTCCACAGCTTTAACACTATCACCAGAAATATGCCTAGCTTGGTAAAGAGAGAAGATTGAAGAAAGGTAGTAAAAATTCCTTTATTATTTTTTCTTGTTCATGGAGGGCTCTGTGTTTGAGGCAAGAGTGTGAATATGAATGTTGCCACCATCCTAACCCCCCAAACTAGTTGTCACGGGAACAGGATAGCCAGATTCGGAGTTAAGAAAGCATGGCCAGAGCGCACGAACGTGCCCCCGTGTTCAGAAAACCGCAGCTGAGGTGACAGGAACACAGCCTGACCTCAACCTGCCTCCGCGGAATGTGTTCGCTGGAAACCATGCCATTCGAGGGCTTTGTCAGCTGATAGGGCTTGGTGTCTGTAAGGGGGAGGGGGTGGAGGAGGAGGGCGTGCTTTCCGATGGCCTCTGCTGCTGACGGATAGTTTGATGATGTTGTAAATGTTGAACATCCTGCTCAGAGGATGCTCTGCTGCTGTTCAGCCCTCCTGATGGCTCCCTCCGGGCTCTCAGAAAGCAGCCAGGCGTGCGGGCCGCCACACCGGTGGTTAGCCCTGGCACGCACTCTGCTGCCCGAGGGCATGGCTGAGGCGGCGAGTGTCCCGCGGACCGGGCAGCCCTGGGAGTGCAAGCCCGGAGCAGGTCGCAGGCTTTGGCCAGGCCTGCTGGGAGGCCTGGGCAGACAGACGTCTGGGCCGTGGGAAAACGGTGGCAAGAGCTGCCGCTCCGACGCAGGGGTGCAGCAGTTACAGGGGTTCACAGGACAAGGGCAGAGCAGCGGGGAGGGGCAGAGGCACCTGCCTCGTGCCGGCCAGAGCTTTCTGAGCTCTGTCATAATCGCTTGCTGTGAAACCCTTTTAGAGGTTGAATGTTTCTGGCGTTTCAACCTTCTCTTTTGAGGAGAGAGGAGAAGAGGGAAGCTCCATGTCAGAGTGATGGGTCCCTGCAAGTCCGAGCTGCACAGCCGTGTGCTCCGGCCCCCAGCACAGGTGGGGGATCCTGAGGAAGAAGCCGTGAAGGTAAAGTGACTTGTCTAAGGCCACGTGGCTTTCAGGATCTTCCCAAAGGAGGTGACCTTACTCCGGGCTGTCTCCATTCACCCTTCATCTCTGTTGGACACAGTAACTGGGGACAGGACAGAGAGCAAAGCGAGGACCGTCCCAGGTGGTAACCCTGACGTGGTTCCTAGCCTCACAGGTGAACTGCTGTGTCTTCTCTTCGGGGCTCCCTCCTGCCATGATTGCGCCAGCCCCACACAGCTGTTCATTTAACGTTTACCAGGTACGGCTCGTCGCCATCATAATAGCATAAGTATGGTGCTCAGTGTGTGCCAGGCACCGTTCTGACAGTTCATACGTGTTACAACGCCCTCAGACGCCCTGTAAGATAGATTCTATTACTATCCATATTTTACAGATGGGGAAGCTGAGGCACAGGAGGTAATGTAATTTGCCAAATTCAGCTCATAACCAGAGCCAGGATTTGAAACCAGAAGTCTGTGCTTCTGTCTCACCTTGGCTGCAAGAGCAGCGAGACTCGCTGCACAGCGCCCTCAGGTAAAGGGTGCTGGGTGCTGGGAGCTGGGGGGCTCACACACAGGGTCCTCGTTGAGGAGGGAAGAGGGTATTCTGGGCCTGTCTTTGCAGCAGCATTTTATTCAACTCAGAAGCCCCTCTGAGTGCCACTTAGGCTTTACCTTTAGAAAGCAGCTATGTGAGGTGGGGCAGGTGGTTAAAACTGTTACATATGCCAGAAGGTGCGGCTTGGTGTGCCCTCTCTATCCACATGCTTTACTGGAAGCAGGAGGTCAGTTCCTGATGACCCTGCCCTGCATCTGGCTTGAGGGTCCAGAGCTGTGGCTCAGGGAGCAGGTGGGCAAAAGGGGTTGGGGCAGCTTTCTGTGGCGGGGATGGGGGGTGTCTGTGTGCTTTTCCTGCTCTTCTCCTGAGTGTTCTGAGATCTTTGGTCAACCTCATACAGCATCTAGGAATTTGGTGGCCTGGTTACGAGAGGAGAAACCTACCAGGGCGTGTGGATCAGGAGGATGACCCCTCACTCAGCTTGTCAGTGGTCGAGAAGGCACAGGGCCCAGCAGCTGTGCCGTGTGGGCTCTGGAGCAACACCCAAGAGAATCGGACCCAGACTCTGCCCTGAAGGGAGGGAGGGTGGTCCTGAAGGAGAGCAGCGCCCCAACTGGCTCTGAGCATGCAGGCTGCTGGGGCCACGCCCTCGCAATTTTGCAGCCACCGGGAAAGACAAGAAGAAATTGGAGATTAGGAAAGCAGGTCAGAGGAGGCCCCCTCTGTGAGCCCACTCCCATCCCTGGGAGGGCAACTTCAGTATCAGCATGCGGGGCAGGCGAAGAAGCTGAGATCAGAGCTCACATGGATGCTTGAGGCAATGAGGGGCAGGGCGGGGGTGTGCGGGTCAGGAAGGGGCTTTTGCAGGTTGACTGATGGGCTGAGGAGTGTGGCCTTTTTCCTCCTAGGTCAGTGTTTCTCAAACTTCCCCTCAAGCAATACTGCCATTCCAGGAGCTGGACCAGGGGTGGTATCGTGAAAGGTGTGTATATTGTCCTGGTTTGCAGGAAAAATTAATAGAGTTTCTCCAATTGTAGGTCTTTCTTACAAACTTTTTTCTAAAACTTGTTGCAGCTATCCCTTCTTAAGATTGTGAGCAGATTGCAAAATGAATGGACAGGTAGCAAATGGGTATTAACTAACTGAGGTGGTCAGCAGCCACGGACCCGCCACAGCTTGTTTAGTGGATGTGTATTGAATACGTGAAAATACTCAGTAATGGTTCTTTGTTTATATGTCGGACTGAAATATATTTTCAGTGTGTCAAGAATGTCCCACAAAGAGCTGCGTGACTTTCTGAGGCCTTGCCACAATCCTGGCAGCAGGGACCACTGACATTTTGTGAGAAAGGCCTGTGACCTGGCCTCAAGGAGTGACCTGACTCAGCAGTGTGTTCAGGACGGATGGAGGGAGGAGATGGACAAAGTGATGGACAGGCTGTTGCAGGAATCCTGTGGCCTTGTGCCCTGGATGGGTTTGGCTGAAAGCTCTTTGGTTACAGAATGGGTCCCAGGAGAGTAGAAATGGGTCCAGAGCTATGGGCGAGGCTGGCGGAGAGTGGGGCTCTTCCTCCCTGGCCCGTGGGGAGCTGTGCTGCCGGCAGAGCCCGGGCGTGTCTGTGCCGGGCTGGGGGTTTGAAACACTTAAGTGCTCTCTGCTGTCCTTCTGAAGAGGATGGTTGGCTAAGTTGCATTTTACACTGTCTCCTGAAGGGTGGGAGTCTTGATCTCATAAAAGTGGACTTAAGAATCTGGAAAACCCAGAGGACACTCTTGATAACAGATAGGAGTTGGTCAGCCAGAGGTGACGACCAGTAATGTTGGAGAAAGCTTGTCAGGGTGATAAACTGCCACAGGTTAGCATACTGCGAGGTTTTTAAAAAAATATCTCGATGGACACCCAAGTGAAGAAGAGTTGCTGATAATCCTTGGTTTATAAAGTAATTTCATATAAGGTCCTGCATCGGAGGTGGAAAGGGTAGGAAACCGTGAAGAAATGAGGCTCTTGGGAGAGAAGGTGATTTGCCCCAGTCACAAAGCCGGTGGTAGAGCCGGAACGCAGACCAGAACTTCTGGCCAGCAGCGCTCCCTGGGAACCTGCCAGGTGCGTCACACAGCCTTCTCCACCCGTGACCCGCAGAGCGGGCGCCCTTACCTTTACTCTCTGGATGAACAAATTGGCTGCAAGGGGACTCAGCAGAGAGGGGGCGAGATGTGCAGCCTGCGCTGGACTCAAGCCCCTCTTTGGGGGAACAGGGGCGGCACCCAGTCTCGCCTGGCTGGGGCGGGCGCAGTGCGGGGAGCGAGATGAGGCCACTGAGCTGACTTGGGAAAGGGCAGCTCAGTCAGCCAGTGAGGAAGTACGTCCCAGGCAGAAGGTCCGTGTGGATAAGCTCCAGGGGCACCGGGAACACCGTGGGCTGTGGCCCCTGATCCCCGAGTCTGTGCTAGCCTGGCACCCGTCTGCCCTGGGCCACTCTGCTCCGGGAAGCAGGGCTCTGTGCTGCGCTCTGGCTGTGGCGTGCGCTCTGGCTGTCTCTGGTGGCATTTAGCAAACCCTGGCCCCACAACCCACACCCCTTCTTTATGCAGTGGGGGTCTACCTACTTAGGAGGCCTAATTGATGTTGGGGAGTTTCCTACAGCAGTTGGTGAAAGGTGCCCCGTAAATCTGACACACTGAAGAGGTCTGCCACATCCATCACAGTGTTTATTAATGTCCTGACTGATCTCCAGGGCAGGGAATGTAATTCATTTGCTTGTTTCAGGCTGAGGAGGCAGCCGGCCCCGCTGTGCTGCAGCCTCAGGCTCTGCAGGACACGATGCCAGCACATCCCTTTGGCAGCTTGCAATAAATTCAGCAGCAAATGTCCCATCATTTTCTTTGGATAATTAAATTAAGTATTTGCAGGAGACAGTACCAAACTTCACAGCACGGGAGCGAAAAAAAAGAAGATCCAGAGTAGTGATGAATGCCTTGCTCAGTTTACGTCAGGGAAATTGGGCGTTTGCCTTACACTGGGAAAGGCCAAGGGGGGCAGGTGATGCGCCTCCTGTCTGGGGAGGAGCAGTGCTCGCTTACCTAACGCGAGGACGCGAGGACGGTGTCTGGGGGGGAACCGCCGGGGACGTGTGAGCACGGCGGGGCCTGGAGGAGCTGGCAGTGCCTGGGCAGGGGACGGGGGGCACGTCCCCTCGGCCTCAGCACCCATGCGCCCCACCAGCACCCTGCCCACCCCAAAGCAGCAGCAGCAGCCGGTAGATGCCTGAGCACCCCCTGGGCAGCCCTCCGCAGAAGGGTTGAGGCGGGCGGGCGGGGCAGCATCCCAGGCATCTATTATTGATGAGGATGGTTTCTGATGGGTCTCCCTTGGAACGTTCTCTAAGGGCTTTCCCTCGGTTACCTCATTCGCCGCCCCAGCAGCCCTCACGAGGAGGGGCCGTAACAGGCCAGAAACGGCTGGGCTGAGCGCGCAGGGGCCAGGAGGTTGACGCGCCCTGGCTGCCCAGCAGCCCCCGACGGGGAGGGGAGAGGTCTGGGCGTCTCTCCAGCCCTGAGATGTCCTTCAAAACCTGCACTGGTCTGTGTCACCCCCGCTGCTGTCAGGGGTCCTTGTTAGGCACAGGTGTTTTATTGACTTGGTAGGGCGATGCTTCCCTTTGGACCTTACCATCTCCGGTCAGCGTCCACAGCCCTGTTTCTGGTCCTCTCTCGGGATGAGGAGGGTGTCCCACTGAGCAGTGTGGAAGCAGCACCAGGACGAGCGCCTCGGCTGAGCTGTCCTGGAGTGAGAGGCGCGTTCCTGAGCTGAGGGTCGCGGGGGCAGCAGACAGGGCTGGCCTCCAGTGCCCAGGGTCTGTGAAAGCCCCAGTCTGTGTGACTGAGTCTGAAAAGCCAAGCCTGGGGGTGGAGGCCTTGCCCGGGGCTCGCTGGGGAGGGGCCATTGCCTCATTCAGGGAAGGCAGACTGTGGCCGAGCCTGTCCAGCTCGGGCCCCGCTCGCTTGGGAGCTGACCACCAGCACTGCTTGGCCCTGTTGCCAGGGTTGGCATGTCCGGGTGGCACCCTGGCCACGAGATTGGCTCCTCTTCCGCTCCGGCGGGGAGGCTGAGCAGGGAGGCTGCCTGAGGGACAGCAGCTGCCGGGAGGCCGGAGGCCTGACTTCTGTCCCCAGCTGTCTTGATGTTGCCCAGTTTCATTCCAGGGGGCTCATTTCTCCATGTCCAGAAGGGCACCTGACCCAGACCTGGATCTGAATCCGCCCACGATTTTACGCCTCAGCTCTGTGCTCTTGGGCGGGTCATTGAATGGTTCATCCTGAGCCTGTTTTTTCGTCCAGAGCAGGGAAAACGGCCCCCATTCTGCAGGGCTGTGGTAATGAGGGGATACAGGGCGGGAGTGAAGGAGCCATTCTTGTCATCACCTTCCTGCTGGCCTTCCAGGAGACAGCGGCCATTACCCAGACCCCCGCCTTGTGGGAGGGCACCGGCGGGCGCTCAGAAAGGGCACACAAGCAGGGGAGCCGCCTCCCGGGGCCACTTGGGCCCTGTCTCCGCGGGCTCCTAGGGCAGCTGTGAAAGCCCGAGCTCGCGCGCTCACCTGTGGTACTCCACGCCTGCAGGCTCCACCCCACGCCTGTCCCTGGCATGTTAAGTGTCACCCACTACAGCTGCGACAGTGGATTGTCCTTGCAGAGGCAGCGGACACCTGGGACCTTGCTCCTTCGTCTGGTCCTGCGGCAGTTCTAACATGGGAACTGCCTGTTCAGGCAAGAAGACCACAGTGGGTGCTCGGGCAGAATTTCACCTCACAGCAACTTGTAAGTACCCTAAGAAAGCATCTTTTAGAAGGGAAGCTCTTCTGCAGACCCCATTTATAGACAGGACAGCTGAGGCAGAGAGCAGGACACACCCACCTGGCCACGCCCCGCGTGGCTGTCTTTTTGGTCCTTCGGTTTCTCTAGAGCAGAAACCAAAACCTCCACGGGGAGGTGCATGCTGGCCGGCAGCTGGGCCGCACCTCTGGCTCAGGACAGGCCCCTTCCTTGTTGGGGCAGCCAGCACTCGCCCGCGGGGGTGCCGAGGACAGTGGCCGTTTCTAGTCAAGCCTCCCGACCACTAATCCAGGACCTGGTTGGCTCTTGCCCTTGAGGTTGTAAATCCTGAAGTGCCTTCCCGTGCCTCAGGGGACAAAAGCTGAGAGTGCCTGTTTTGCTTCCAAAAGCCCTGAAGCCTGGGAGCACAGCACCTAGCACTCTGTCGGGTGGGTGTCTGACCTAACTTAGGAGAGTCCGCAGTGTCTCCGTGCTTCATCTGTGAAACGCAGATGGGAACGCCCGCCCCCCGGGTCATCGGGGATTAAAGAAGCCCATGGGTAGAGGCGTCAGTAGAGTGCTCAGTCATGGAAGCGGCAATTCTGCTATTGGGGACAGAGGATGCCTCCAAGTGACACCCCCAAAACAGCTCAGTTGGACAGCAGTTCCTTTGAACACGTGGAACCGCTGCTCACCTCCCCGTGAGGCGAGAGGGTGCTCTGTGTGGCGCATGCGCCACGCCCCCTCCCAGCCCAGCCCTCTGTCCCTGCTGCAGCTTTGTGGGCTTTCAGGGCCAGAGGGAGGTGGGCGTGGAAGCAGGCGGGTGCCGGCAGCCTTGGGGTCACGGTGCTGCCAGGTGATTCCATGGCACCACGGGAGCTCCTAGGGGGGCGTTGCGTGAGAGTCGCACACTGAGAACCACCTGGGCAGAGAGGGCAGAAAGGGGGCAGGTAAACCAGTTTGTGAAGGGACTGGGACCAGGTCCAGGAGTGCAGCTGAGACAGCGGGAGTCCAGGTCCCTCCCCCACGACTCCGGGGTGTGGCACACACAATGCCCTGGTTACCAGCATGGAACCCCTTGGGAGCTTTTCAGCAAGGGAGACGGGGGAGGGAGGTTGGGGCAGAGACCGGCGGGGCTGGGCAGACGGACGGTCAGGACGGCCGAAGGCGCTGCTGCTTGCGGGGGACGAGGAGGGCCACGGATGCCCTGTGTGCGCGCAGGCGGGCTCCTGGGGGGGGCGGGGCGCTCGGTCTTGCACCTGCTGAGTTCGAGGTGCCAGGGGTGGCCACCTCCAGTGGGGCAG